AACAGAGTGATAAATCAGTGGAAACCCCAGAATAGGAACAAGAACATGAGAGATACATGAACAGAATTTAAATTTCGAAGCGGTCGATATAAACGATGCAGTCTAGTTGAACGCTCGTTAATCAAAATGTTATATCATAATGATCTTTAAGATTAAGCCAGCTGCTGGAATCCAGAGCTCAGATGAGGAAGAACAATACAGAACACAAATCTCTCTATTAGTCCAAAGGATGAACAATTCCATCATTACAAACATCACAAACCTTACAACCAAACAATCTTGTAATGTTGATTAATGAATGAATAAAATAAGAAATTACAATTTTATAATCCAGTATTGCTCAAGATCCTCCATACCAATTACCAAAGATCATATCCAATATCCTTGAACATTGTAATTAAAGAGTGATCTAAGAAGAGCGATAATGTTAAGCCATCATCTCGCAGTAACAATTCGCCAAATCACCAGATTTTCCCCAAAATGGTGGCTGAACTACACAACACACAGTAAGAACACATCCAAACGATATACACCAAGTCCAAAACACTTCCAAATCACCATTGATTAAAAAAGAAACAAAATGGGGAAGTCCCACGAACCAATCAGATCAAATCATCGATTGAATCTAGACCAGATATGTACAACAAGAACAGGGACAAACAATCAAATCCAGAACGAAAAAACCAAAAAACACCCAGATCAAAAAGAAAAATCACATGGGGTTAACGATCAAAGACAAGATCAACGAAAAACGCAGCGCAATGGAATGGATTCAGGTGATCCGAAAACAGCAAAACAGCTGCCTGCCCGGAGATCTCTCGCACCCTCTGCAAATGAAGAGTGGAGGGAAGAGAAATTATTAGGAAATAGAAGAAAGTGGAATGGTGGAAGGACGAGGGCGCAGAGCTGGCAATAAAGAAAGATATAGAAGATAGTTGGGAAAAAGAAAAGTGGGAATTATTGCTGTATGTGTCTGTTTTTTCTTTTCTCTCTCTTCTCTCTACAACTTTTCAGCCTTTTGAGATTGGTATTCAGGCGAGTGAGAGAGATATCAAAGTTGGGCTGGGTCCGACCGGTTGACAAGCTCGTTTATTCAAGGGAAGGGATCTGTTGGCGGTGGCACCGCCCAAATTGGGCTCTGTTTTTTCCTTCGATACCTTTTTTCATGATTTGTCCAGTTTAGCGATCCCTCAAATCAATTTGAACAATTGGGTTTGAAAGTTGTTGGGAATGAAGATTGAAAAGACAAAGCTTTGACAAAACCCATCATTCAAATGGCAAGAATCTGAGGCTAATTCAAAGTATGAACTCGTTATGCAGGGTTTTGTGTTATACTATGTTAAGTTGACTTACAATTTTACTTCAAAGTCATGCTTAAAAGAACTGTTTAGAGAGACAGTTGACAAATCTCTTTACAGATAAGGCTCATAATATTAATAGTAAATTCGATTGAAAAGGACTGAAAAGTTATTTTTATTGAATAATCTCTCCATATTATATTAATCACATTAAATAATCTCTTCAACTTAAAATAATCTCTCCGACTTAAAAAAAATTAGTATCCCAACGACGAGGAAGACCTCTATTGTTGGTCAAAATTGATTTACATCGTCTGTTTCTCTCCACATGATTTGTACACCATATCAAATCAAATCTCCATGTTCATCTATCCTTACACTAACTTACTATATAAAAAGTTTTTCATATGGTCCGTTTTAGCTCATTACGTATCGTCGTGAGCCTCACGATTTTAAAACGTGTCTATTAAGGAGAGGTTTCTACACTCTTATAAGAAATGTTTCGTTCCCTTCTTCAACCGATGTGTGACCTCATGATCCACTCCTAATAGACGCGTGGTTAGAAAGAGGAACGAAGCATTTCTTATATGGGTGTGGAGACCTCTTCTAGTAGACATGTTTTGAAATCGTGAGACTGACGACGATACTTAACGAGCTAAAACAGACAATATCTACTAGCAGTGAGTTTTCTCAGCATCTCCTGACACATAATCTCATTACTTACTTTTTGCTTCGATGAGGGCAAACTATCCTTACAAATCAGCACGAGTCATTCCAACATGTATTGTCCTCACTTACATGCATCTTACGAAAATTTTCAAGAGATCACCCATCATAAAATTGCACAGGCAAAACACACTTGACCGTGAAATTTTTATGATCAAGCCACATAAAAGGAAAGTGCACCTTGTTCGTATGTGTAGTGACTTTCAATTCTTTCAAGTCTTTCTTAGTCATCATCCTCTCTTTAAAGTCGCTCGTATGATCTTGATTTATTCATATACTCCTTCTTTACTCGAATGTCATAATATGTTTCACCTTTCGAGTTAGAGAGGCGTAAGAAAAAGGAGGGAAAGGGAAGAGGACAAGAGGGGCATTCCAGCCTAAAAAACAAACAATGAAACACAGATGGCAGAGAACCGCGGGTGAGGAACAGAGTCGGTTCAGGTTGTTCTACTCCTTCAATTAAATAAATGAAGAAAAGTATGTATGTGTGTGTGTGTGTTCGAGTTCTAAGCCACTTCGTGGTTTTTAATATTAAAAAGTTAAGGCGTTGTGTGTGTGTTTTTGTTTGTTGCTATAATTTTAATACACAAAACACTGCCTCTGATACCCATATGTCTCTTCTCTAACGTCATTGCTATTAAATTATTGCACCCTTTCTTACTTCCTCTCACTGTCTCGCCTTTCCATGCATGCTTTCACATGCACCAAACGCTACCTCACTTCTTCTCTACCCTTTCTTCTTTTACTTCATCTAACAATTCAAGATTAGGAGACTATTGTGATTCGTTACGTATGATCATCAGTCAAATAATTTTAAAACGTGTTTGCTAAGGAAAAGTTTTCACACATTTATAAGAAAGGCTTTGTTTCCCTCTTCAACCAACGTGGGATCTCACACTTCATCTATACCATTATCATAGGTTGTTTTTTCTTTCGTTTTTCTCCTTCTCCTTTTCATGTTAGGTCTTAGAGTTAGTATTCAAAGTGAGTAAAAGAGTGCTTGAATAAATTGAAACGTTTAAGCGGGCACGTGGAGCTAAGAAATGTAAAGAAGTTTTAAATGTAGAGAGAGATGATTCAAGAAACAAAATGATTAAGCCTATGGTAGCAATAATGAATGTTCTGAATGAAATCTCTCTGCTTTCTACAACTAAATCTCTCTTAATTTTATAAGAAATCTTTAACAAACTACCAATTGTTCTCTACTTTTACCTTCAAAATTGATTATTTTAAGAACTTTTGATTGCAGGGAAAAGGGTAAAAAAAAAAAAAAAAGTGTGAATATGCTATCTACTTGGACGAGTGGCGATCTAAGTCCCACAATTGGAGTATTGTGTGCTGTAGCAAAAACGAGAGGGAGAAAGAACTCGAGACGAGCCTACGTAGTATTAAGTTATTGGTAAGGTAAAGGTCCATGGAACCTCCTGCAAATCATCCGGTCTACTCGATTGTAACAATTAATGGGAAAAGCGTTGGAACCAAACATTGGATTCGGGCGGAGTTATGGCAAATGACATACGAAAGATGAATTGACAATTAAATAATTATGTATGTGAATCTATTGTTTAGTCAAAATAATATTATGGTTAAATAACAAGTTTAGTCTTATAATTTATTCGATTTGCACGGTCAATTCAATCTTACTTTACCCTCGAGATATATCATTGATATCCAAAAGTTGGCAAAAAAACTAAAGAAATGTTGTCCCTTACAATTATCATGGATACTCTTTGTCCTCACTACGAGTATCAATAACGAAATGACAAAGAGAAGTATACAAATCGTTTGGACCTATAATGAACAATGTACATATTCGTTGAACAAGTTCATGCTCAAACTTCGATAATCCGACTTTTCTTTCCAACGGATCTTTTGACTTTTGTAACCAATATATGTAAGATTAAATGTATTACCAAGAATTGAAGCGACAAATCGATTCGATTCAAACAAGTTAATGATTTAGAAGCTAGGTAGAGGTTTGTTGATTCTTAATGATATTACCCACTTGAACTTATAGAGGGTGGCTAGCTTAGGGTAGACAAATAATCCAGCTACTGCTGCCTTTATGAACCACCAAAGGGATTATGTTTTATGCCTTGGCTTTTCCAAAACTGGCTAAATTTTCGCTTTCCTGTTCCCTGAGGTTTATCAACTCCATCCTATATATATATATACTATTATCCGCTTAAACCCGATTGAGTAGATAGTATTTCTGACTTATATAATCTATAATCCTAACTCTACACACGTCACTTTCGTGTGAACTTTGAGTTCTTAAACATGCATCACTTTTCATGTCGTCGAATCTTATAAAGAAAAAAATATTTTAGGAATGTTATAAACATACAGATGCATGGAGTTCCACGTACGAAATATCGGGTTAATGACATGATGCAGCATATAAGAACTCTACAAGCTATAAACCCCGTTTCAAAATCCTTCGCAAAACCAACCACGGAGCTCTCTAGAAAAGGAGGATTGAGCACCAAACATGAATAAAATCATCGACCACGAGCCCATCAGCAACAATCACATGAGTCTAAGGATCGAATTAGAGTCTCCACACCTGTGGTTGTTCGTCGTTGATGTCGAGGGTAACTAAACCGAAGAAAAAGGAAGATAATTACGAAATCTCTCCATTCATCTTTTTAAAGTCGAGACGAAAATAAGTAAGTAATTGATATATACTCGTAAAAAGAAAATATAATTAATTAAAAAGAAAGGTGTTGGAGTGTGAAAAGACAATTTTATGATACAAGGAATCCAATATTAATTGTTAAAATCAAGAATATTGTTGGGAAGTATAAGTGCATAGATTATAGTTTTGCTGAACAGCAAGGGCAATTGTTAATTTTACCAATATTCACCTTCCCTCCATAAATATCACTTCCTATCCCTATCCCTATCCATATATATTTCCTCATCTCTAGGTTTTTAAGCACACAACTGGAAGAACAAACCCAACATTTTTATACCCCAACAAAAAGAAAAAAAGAAAAAAAAAAATTTCTTTTTGTGTTTTGTAATGGAAAATCACGGCGATGACCCAAACAGTCCAAATCTCAGCTCCGACAGGGCGGAGCCGGTGAGATCACGGTGGACGCCGAAGCCGGAGCAGATTCTGATTTTGGAGTCCATTTTCAACAGTGGAATGGTTAATCCACCCAAGGATGAGACCGTTAGAATTAGAAAGCTGCTTGAGAAATTTGGCTCTGTCGGAGATGCCAATGTTTTCTACTGGTTTCAAAACCGCCGCTCTCGGTCTCGCCGCCGCCAACGCCAGCTGCAGGCAGCTGCAAGCCACCAAGGTGGCAGTGCAATTCATTATGACAGTGGTTGCAGCGGTGGCAGTGTCATGAATTTTGCTCCTTCCTCTTCTTACCTTGGAGAAGGAGGCTCCTCCTCCTCCGGAGGCGGCGGTTTTTCGATGACCGATCACATGGGTATCTCTGAAATTGATCAGCCGATGGTTGTAACCCCCTCGTTTTGCCCTTCAGCAACCTCGAATTTAGAGTTCCAATCAGGTATGGGTATGCATGTTCGTTCAAACCCTCGTTTTATTTCACCAAAATATCAAAAAAAAAACACCAAAAAAAGGGTTTTTGATGAAGACCCAATAATCAAAATGGATGGAATATAGTAAATTTAGCATCTTTTTTTGATTCAGCTTTTTGAAGAGAGTTCCAATGAATTGTTCTCCTTTTGATGATGATGATGTGACAGTTCTTTCTTGAGCTGGAATTTTTGAACACTAATAGCATAAAAAAACGTTTGCTTTGAATTATTTGAATCGATTCACGGGTTTGAGCATTAAATTTTGTGTAAAAATGTTTGATTTTGAAGGTTATATTATAATATTCATAAATGGAGTTCCGACAGAAGTGCCAAAAGGAGCGGTGGACATGAAGGCAATGTTTGGGGATGACACAGTGTTGGTTCACTCCTCAGGACTCCCAGTTCTTACCAATGAATTTGGAATATCACTGCACAGTTTGCAGCATGGTGAAACCTACTTTCTGGTAATTATTCTCTCTCTTTCTCTGTTTTTGAGCCTCTTAAACTTTCTATCTTCCTTCTATAATTCAAACAAACACATAATCTAAGTCAATTTGAGTTGAAATTAGTACTAATCTCTGGGATGAACTCATGGAATTAGCTTAGGAGGGTTTTGGTGGAATGGTTAGTAAGTTAATTAAGATGTGTGTTCCTTTGGATTAGTGCTAGAGAGTTTGATGATGAACATAAACATTTGATTACTCTTAAAAAGATGAACAAAACACGCCATAATTTGATGTAATTTTATGCCAATCAACCCAAATGATGCCCTAAATTTAGGACTAAATGTTCTTATTAGCGGCATTAATTCACTAGGAATCTTCTCCTATAGACAACATAATACTACTTCAAATTTTCAATCCATTGAAATAGATTAACATTCTATAAATAAAACGGACAGACGATTAATCCTAATCTTTCATAGATCTAACTCAATCTAAAGATTGTGTCATAATCCATCATTTTTTTTAGCTCAACAATCTTGAAGGCAAGAAATCGAACTTCAACTTCCTTGTGAAGTGTATAATCATCTTAGTTATGTCCGATTGAGTTCATGTGAGAGTAGAAAAAAAAGGGAGGAATTCAAAGGGAATAGGAACTGGATATGTGGTTGAAATGACATGTCATATGATCATGGTAGCTATTCTTTAATTTGTATGCCAAATTCAATGGATGAACAAACCACAAAACACAAAAACAAAGGATGATGATGATGATGATATTAAGGTTAAGATTAATTGTGTGGAATCGTGGTCGCGCAGGTTTCAAGGCCGACATGAGTTAGGAAAGAAACCAGCTGCAACAGCAGCAGCAACAACAGCGCCTACCAACAAGAAAATTAAAAACAGCTCTCAGATTTTCAAATGATTCGTCTTTTTTTTTTTTTTTTTTTTTAAGC